TGGTGTCAGAAGCGGGCTGGCCAAGTTTGCTGATGGCACCAAACTCTGGGGTAAAGCATCCACACCTGAGGACAGGAGGGTGATCCAGGCAGATCTTGACGGGCTCAGGAAATGGGCGGACAAGAACCTGATGGTGTTTAACACCAAAAAATGTGAGGTTCTCCACCTTGGGAGGAAAAACCTGCAGCATGCTTATAGGCTCGGCAGTGCTACACTGGCTAGCACTAAGGAAGAAAGAGACTTGGGGGTCATCACTGACCACAAGATGAACATGAGCCTTCAATGTGATGCTGTGGCTAGTAAAGCAAGCAAAATGCTGGCTTGCATCCGTAGATGCTTCTCAAGCAAATCCCTGGATGTCATTCTCCCCTTGTACTTGGCCTTGGTGAGGCCGCAGCTGGAGTACTGTGTCCAGTTTTGCGCTCCACAGTTCAAAAAGGATGTGGAGAAGCTTGAGAGAGTCCAGAGAAGAGCCACGTGCATGATCAGAGGTCAGGAAAACAGACCTTATGAAGAGAGGCTGAGAGCCATGAGGCTCCTTAGCCTGGAAAAGCGCAGGCTCAGGGGTGATCTGATGGCCACCTATAAGTTTATCGGGGTGACCACCAGGATCTGGGGGAACGTTTGTTCACCAGAGCGCCCCAAGGGATGATGGGATCGAACGGTCACAAACTCCCCTGAGACCGATTCAGGCTGGTCATAAGGAAGAACTTCTTTACTGTCCGAGTCCCCGAGGTTTGGAATAGACTGCCACTGGAGGTGGTTCAAGCACCCACTTTGAACGCCTTCAAGACACATTTGGATGCTTATCTTGCTGGGATCCTATAATCCCTGCCAACTTCCTGCCCCTGGGGCAGGGGGCTGGACTTGATGATCCTTTGGGGTCCCCTCCAGCCCAAATGTCTATGAAATCTATGAAAACCTTCATGGGGTGCAAGGCATTTTAATTTACTCAGTAGTGTTAGAACGTAAGTTACTTGTTGGAGGTGAAATTCACCCCTATGTAGAGGACTAGCATAAAAAACCTTAGGCCTTCAAAACAGGAGTAAAGTGGTGTATAGGTCTCATGCTTGTCATCTCTGGTACAGAAATAAATTTAATCTGGAATGAACATGTGAAGCCCTTAATGCTGCTAATTTTGCAGTTGTGTCTTAATCCATCAGAAGTAGCATTGATCGGGGGGGTTATTTTACTATATTTTTACTTTCTTTGACCCTGAGAAAGATAAACCAGGCTTAACACACACTGAACATGCCATATGCCAAGTGCTCTGAAGTTTAAAAGCTCTGACTTGTCTAATATCAAGATATCCATCCTCATGAAAAGAGAATGGGAGGCTTCACCATAAGGTGCTTATGTTGTGCATTGCTTATTTGGTACTGTCTTCTTGACTCCCAAGTGTCCTGCCAGTGCTTTCTTTAGGAAAGGGTTGGGGTATAAGCAGCATTGGGTTGGTTTGTTTTTTGCTGGTAAGAAGCATAGATTGCAATGTGTTTTCATTTTGAGACAGCTTGGCACCATTAGGAAATCAGTACAGACACGGAGAGGTAAGCTTTTTATGATGCTGTTGATAGTGAGAACGAATGAAAAATAAAACAAAGCATCTCTCACAGACAGCAGCAGGGAAGTTGTTATAGCAATCATGCGCCAAAATGGAAAGTCTTTCATTTAAGGGCAGCTTGTTTTCATTCTGACTAATTGGGCTTTAAAATTATTAATAAATGGCAGCAGGTGTATACCAAGGGACCCCACCCCATTCAAAAATTGCTCCTCACTACCTGCCCCCTCTTGTCCTGACACTGCCTCTGCTCCCTCTCTGCCAGCTCCCCCTCCCCTCCTGCTGCTTACTCTGTCACAGGTCTGGCCCAGGGCAAGCCACTTAACTTCACCACTGCCTCCCACCGCTACCTCCTGCCTTCCTTCCACTGTTTTCCCTATTGCACCAATGGGGGAGATGAATTAAGACGATCCTCCAATAATTAGATTCTGCACATGGAAACTTCTAACAAATTTATACATTTTCCGTGGGCACAATCTAGTTTATTGCAGGGATCATCTTGAATTGTGCCATCTCAGATTCCACTAAATGTGGTTAATACTGAATCGGACAACACTGAAGTTTGAATACTTCAGTAATCATTGGCAAGGCTTGGTTTTAATGCACCATCATCTTATACAGCAGTATTAAGTATTATCTAAATATATGAAGTGATGATTATATGGTAGTTGAATTATACTGTATGTATGAAGAGCCAAACCTTTGGACTGTTATACTGGACTTGTAGCTATCACATTAGTTTTTAAAATGCATCTACTTAATTGGATCGGTTGGAGCAGTGAAGGAGATGAATTTTAAAACATGATTTTGAAAAAAGCAGCTGTTTAACAAAGCCATTGAGCAATGAAACTATATTTCCACTGTCTTTAGCATATGTGTTTCACAGCTATATTCTGTGCATTAAATCAGACATCTACATAGTTCATGTCAGAAAATCTGTCTTTCTCCATTCCCATTTTTAAGCTTTAGGTTAGAGGTGTATTTAAAAAAAAAAAAAAGAAGAAGAATATCTTTTAAAAAGATACCTGTGAAAAAGTATTAAAGACAACTGGTCTTCTAGCTGCAGGCCTGTCTTTTGCTGACTGACATGTACTATCCATATGGCAGATAAAGTTGGTAAATCTCATAGAATTAGGCAGTCCTTGTAAAATATGCATATTAACATCATTTATTTGAATAATTATATTCATGGACATGGAATCATTGAGTTCATCTTCAAATGAAATATCCTGCCAGGCGGGCACTTGCCATGCTAAGAGCAGCAATCTGGGGATATATGTGTGTGAGCACATTATATGATTCACATAAATTTAGAGTCCCGACCATCCGCTCCAAGCACTTAAATTTAATTCGAAGAGCATGATCTGAATGACACAGGAGGGACCCCATCATACACTGGTTCAGAAGTCGTTGTAATGAATTGCTACACTGAACAAGGACGCTTTATAATAATTGAAATTCCTCACTGTGTAGTTATATTCTCCCTTTCAGAACACTTCACTATGAAAAATATACATCCTTTATATGCAAGGCCCCTCATAAAAGAGCTGATGGAGTTAACAGCTTCTAAATACAGTGTGTGCCTTCATCATAAACACATTGCAGTGGACTGACAGCATACCAGAATCGATAAAAATGGGGGATTACATTTGGAAAACTGATTTGGATGCTCATTAGCAGGGAAGTAAGATGTAGCTTATAGTAGTCACTGCTGTTGAAAACAGCCATCCATCCAAATATTCAAGGGTGTGCCATGTGACAAAGCGTGAACTACTGGCCTGTATCAATTTAGTCTGCATGGCGGGATTGTTGGTCTGATGGTTGAGGCCTTAGCATTGGACTTGGGGAGATCCAAGATCTGTTCACAGCTTTCTGTGTGATTGGGGCAAGTTAACTAGACTTCAGGTATCCTCAAGGGATATGTATGTTGATGCTTAACTTCCATTGATTAATTGCTCTTTGCCTCAGTTCCCCATCTTTAAAGGGCAGTTACAACACTTCCATACCCACAGGACCATAGTGAGGATTGATACGTTGAATATTGTAAGGTGCTGAGGACCTGCATCATATGGCCCCGAGGGTAGCTCTGGGAAGCAGAAATGTAAAGCTTGTTTATGATCCTTTCTCCTTTTGCTTTGCCGCTGGGTGTTCAGTTGATTGAACTGGATTGCTGACCTGGTGTACCTGCCAGTGCTGCAGAATAGATCTGTGGTGTTTCCCACATCGCTTTTGAAAGTAGACACTCTTCCTGGCCAGTAATTAGAGGAAATAATCTGCAAACAGGAGAATAGAGATCCTCTGCTTCTTTAGATATTTGCTGTCCTTGCAGGCACACAGCAAGTCAGGCACCTTCTTGCATTTATCTTTTTAATGGAAAAACCCGTGGCACAGTTTGAGGGCCTCATACAGTGTCATCCATGCATCTTTCTCTAGTGTGGTCTGTGCTGTGTTACTACCTCTCTGGTCATTACCAGGAATAAAGAGCTGTCTTAGGGTATTGGTTACTACCTTCAGTTTGTGCTTGGCAACCAGTTGTGTAGCGGAAAGTTCTGCAGTTGATACAAGGGTAGCCTGGTCTAGCTCAGTATGGCTTTTATGATCTTACTGCTGACATTTATTATATACACTAGGGCTGTGTGAAACGGCACCGCTTCATTTCGACTTGTCTTTTGACGGAGCAGCATTTTGTTTTGAATTTCATTTCGATTTGAAACCGCTGTTCCGTTTCATTTTGTTGAAATAGTGATGCTGTTTCAACACTTTGTCGACATTTCGCCCATAGGCTATAATGGGGAAGCTTGAAACAGCTTCTCTCATCTGGCAGGCAGATTGGGGGCCCACAACCCCAGGAGGGCTGCGAGGGCTGTGCCAGTACCCCTGGGGTTGTGGGCCCCCGATCTGCCTGCCGGATGAGGGAGGGAAGTCCGGTGCTGCCACGTGGGACCTGCGCCAGCATGCCACCTGTCCCAGGCAGCGGCATCTGGCTTCTCTCATCTGCCAGGCAGATCGGGGGCTGCAAGCCTGGGTGGGCTGCGGGGGCTGTGTGATCGGGCTCAGTTTCCTTTCCCAGCCTGATTGAGCTGAGGAAGGAAGCTGAGCCCCATCGCTCAGCTGGGCTGAGTTCCCTTCCCCAGCCCAATTGCAGCGCTGGGGAGGGGAACTCAGCTGGGCTGCTCTGCTCTGAAACTCAAAACTTTCAAAACACTTCGACTGCTCTCGTTTTGTTTTGAGGCTGTTTCAAAGCCCTTTGTTTCGTTTTGGGTTCACTGTTTCGAGCTCAAAATGAGTCGAAACAGTGTTGAAACAAAACAGCCTGTGATGTTTCGCACAGCCCTAATACGCACATGATAGTGTTCTTGCAGATGTAGGAGCATTTGGGTTAGTTTCAGATTCTGTGCTGCCTGATGAGATCATGCCTGTAATGTAACTTCTCTGTTGGCAGGTAATTGGAAAAGATGATGTGGCCGTGCCATCACACCTCTACAAGGTGATCCTTGCCCGGCGAAGCAGAACGTCAGTGGAGCCCCTTGTGCTGGGAGCCTTTGTGGTGCCCAACAACCCCATAGGCTTCAGTCACCAGCTGCCTGAATTCCAAGTCAACATCGAAGACCTGGAGAAAATGTCAGGACTGGTTTTCTTTCCACAGGTAGACAAAACTAAGGATGTTAAAAATCTCTGTGATGTGGACACCTGTAAGCTAATAGGGTTTAAGGAGTTCACATTGTACCTTACTGGCCGGAAAGTGCAGAGTGCCAGAACGCTGCACAGGCTGGAAAAGGCCATGTCAGAGTTAAGGGAATCAGGAATTGAGCCTGACGAATATCTAATGAGAGTCTACAAGAAGAAGGAAGAGGAACTCACTCAGCAAGAGCCGCGGGAAGCTAGAGAAAGGAAGACTGGCTGAATGTTTGTCTCAGAAAACTGTTTGAGAATATGTTCTCCCCGGGCTGTATATCTGTGCGTGCACACTCCCTTTGTGTTTTGGGCCTGGGCTGTTCAAAGAACTTGTCAAAACAATTGCGAGAGAATGAAAGTTGATGGATTTGGGGGATAAGGTTCATTCGTTCTCCTCTAATACGATGCAGGTACAACTTGATAAAGTACTTTTGCTATGGGAAGTAAAAATAACCCCTTCGCAGCATGCTAAGAGACCTCTAGAAAAGGCGGTGTTGTACTATTTTCTAAAGCCGACGTCAGACTTGGGTTTTGAACGGAATCTCTTCTAGGAAGGTTTTAAAAATAGACAATGGACACCTTGGGAGTATAACTGGAACATGTCTAAATGTAACTCACCCTGTAGATGTCTTTGAAAATGATGCTGTGGAAGCAATGGTATTATTATGGGGGCTGGTTGATGAAAGAAATACAGAATGGTGTGGGATTTTATTGGCATGTTTTCTTTTTTCTTTTTTTAAAAGTGTCCAGTAACTGATACCTAACCTAACCTCTGTTCATTTGTTTTCCTCCTGCAGTTGTATTTGGGATTTTAAAATCTCTCTCTTCTCCACATGCTCATGTACTTTTAAATGAGTTTCATTGAATTACGCATTCCTGACAAAGAACGATAGTTCCTTTTTCCTTTTGGAAAGGGCTTTTTCTTACAACACAATGGTTTTAGGGAATCTTAACTTACTCTAGCTGTCCAGTTGTTACTGGTATTAGTTGTGCTCTTCTCACGCATTGTGAGACAATTAAAAAAGTCAGAGGCAGTTAATTGTGGCAGTGATGTTAGCAACACGAGTTAACAAAAAATGAAAAAATTTAAGAAAATGTGATTTAGGTGCCATCATTATGGTTGGATTTTGCTGTATTTCATTCAGCTTGGGCCATGAATGATGCATTTTGATTTAGTTTATAGACTTACTGACTGTAACACACTTGTTCAGTACTGCAACATCTGAGCTGTTATCTACAGGGAAACTTTTAAAATCAACCAAAATCAACTATTTGTTGACAATAATTTTTAAAAAGTAATAGAATCTTTACTTTTTATGTTACAGTATTTTTGTTCTGCAAATCCTAACTTTCAGGTATAAATTAATAGAGCCTTTGTTCATTGAACTTCTTGTAGCTGGACTAAGAAGGCAAAGAAAGCAAACAGCAGAACTGACCATGTTTTCAAACTTGGAGTGATACAGTACTTGGGTTACAAATTCATAGCAATACTCCCTCCAGTTTACAGATGAGAAGACTGAGGGACTAATCAAAGATGGATCTTATGCCAGCGTCAGGTCATATTGCATTAGGCAATTACCAAAAGCAGGGAGAAGCTGATTCGGGAATATTACCCCAACCAGACTCAGAGTCTTGTGCTATAACAACACCTGGCTTACAGTACCTTTCATGTAGATAGTGCATTTTACCAGCCAGTCTCAAACTCTTCATAAGCAGACTGCTTTATTTAAAAGCAGTTAAGGTTGCCGTGACAACCTTATATTTACCTACCTACCTCATTATTTACAGGAGCCAAGTCTTAAAAGCAAGGAATTAGATAGTCAGGGTCATTGTAAACCTTACTGCCCACGTCATACAAGCAAAGGGCAAAATCCCGATAAAGATGCCAGTGGATTAAGATGTCATATGTTCACCTTCTCCAGTTTGGAAAAAAAGCACAGTACGCTAGAGCACAGCAAGCCACATCGCGCAGCTCCTGCTAACAGGCAGCAGAGGGGCTGGCTCTTGGGACGTGTGCTGCAGAGGGTCCTGGGCAAGGAGCTAGGACTAGAGATGGACTCGCACCTGTGTGGTGGCTTCTCAGGGCAGGACGGGTCTTGCCATCAGCAGGTAGCCAAGGACTTCACAATCACCCAGTGGGGAGTTGATGGAAACAGCTGGCTCCCCCCCATCTCACTTTGTGTTTGCCTTGTTGCAAAAGGACACACCCTGTATATCTAACATGTGGTGATCATTGTGGTGGATGGCACGGCTGCTATTTTGCTGGATTCAGATTCGAGTTGGTTATTATCCACCTCTCCCAGGCAGGTGCATCAAGTGGTGGGAGACAGAGTATAAGTATAGCAAAGTATGGCATAACTCTTCACAAGGAGGCCTATAAACTAAACCCCCCTCCCTCCCCGCTGATCTCTTAAAACTATATTCTACCTTAGCCTCACAGGCAGGACATTACATGGCAGTAGGGAGTCCTTTCATCGTCCAGGGCCTCTTTTCTGTCCTCTAAGTCAGTGGTTCTCGGTCTTTTTTCCTACCAGGACCTGTTTGCAAAGAGCCATGGCCTGTCCCGACCCAAATCCCCCTGGCCCTGCTGATGCCCGACCCCCAGTCTCATGTACCCCGGGCCATGCTGGTGTCCCTCACTCCTGACCTGCAGCCCCTTGTCCCCCCAGTGACCCCCATTCTGCTTGGGCCAGAGCGTGAGCAGCGAGTGCTGCCCCTGTCCCAGCCCCCACAAGCAGCGAGTATGAGCACTGGCCCTGTACTGTGAGTCAAGGCACACAACTCCTGGCTGCAAAGGACCACCCCCGTCCCCTTTTCCTGATGAAGAGCCAGGTGCCTTCTCCCCCTGCTCTGCCACAGCCCTGTTCCCAGCCACTGTTCCCAGCACCGGCATGCACGCACAGCACCTCCCACCCCCCAGGCAGTTCCCCTGGACCTCCAGCCTCTGCTCCTCATACACTTACCTGCATCCTGTGGTGGGGCCTGCTCCTATGACCCAGCCTTGCTGTACTCTGTCCACGTGGGGCTGTATGCACAGACACATGTGCGCCCACTCTCCAGTCATGCCAAGCAGCCCCTTGCAGGCTGGAACACTGCCAGTCTGGATGGGGAAACCTGCGCTTTTGCATGGTTTTCTGGGACTTGCTCTTGACCCTTTTAAATATTATAACCCACATTTGGGGTGTGACCCACAGGTTGAGAAACACTGCTCTAAGTTAAAACTTGCCAGTGTAACATTTTACCAGCAAGCAATAGCATAAAACCATGACCCTTTCCTTTGGAGAAAGGCATCTTCAAGCAGATGCTCCTTAGTTCAGCGTCTATTCTAGGCTGATATGCACTCCTGAATTCCTATAGGTCCCGATTAACATTATTTTTCACCCCGTCTGCCTTGCCATGTGGTGTATATGCCTGTGATTTTTTTTTTCCAGCTTCATTTGAGTGTGGTCATGCTGCTTTGTCTCCCCTTACAAGACTGTAGCAGGTGCAACCATCAAGCCCTTAGCAAATGGTTAAAAAAAATCATTGTCCCAGGAAAAACACATCCAGGTACAATTATAATCAGATGCACTTACTGTGCTGATTTCACAGTTTGAGGTAATAATTTTGGAGACTGTTTTATAACAAAACTAATTTATCCTCTCTTGCTGTAATGAGGCTTTTTAAGAGAAACAGAAAAATACAGCACTAAAAATGGCATCTATTCCCCCCCACAAACAAATTACTTCTGGATATGCTCTAAGCCACCTACATGTTGCTTCAACATGCCATACATTAAGCGCTCGTGCCTCAGCTATATTATTTTCTGTATAGTTTTCATCCCTCATCTGTCCTTTTGTTTTGCAGACGTGACCACGTGACACATGGATGTATGCTTGTTATTTCTTTGGGTAAATTTACACCTGATTTATAGCAGTGGGGAGTTGTACGGTGTGTATCTGCTCCTTGCTTATTCCAGGAACGCAGACAAGCCCTAAGTGTGATAAGAGCCACTGCTGGCAAATGCTAGGACCTGTGTGCTGTGCATGTCGGCATACGTTGAACTCTAAAGCTGAGTAAAAGAACTGTGACATCTCTACCCCTCTCTTTCTGCTGCTCTCCAGTATTCGTACGAGATTCGATTCAGAACATAGGAGCTGGTAAGCAATGGCTCAAATACCGAGGAATACATGCATTTCTCTACTGGTTTAAGCAGTGCACCTTCTAATAATAACTGACGTGAATCTGGATCCAGCAATACAGCAGCCTTGCCTACCACCACTATGATCCTATCTGTTAAATATACAGGGTTTATGTCCTTTTTAAGTAGATGCATTTCTACTTAGTAGGGTGTGTTTGCACGCTGCAACTCGCCATCTTCTGTGTATAATGTAAATGCAGGTCTGCAGTTTGGCCATTTGAGGGCAGTCAAAACCCACAACATAGACTTGGCTGCTGTGTAGCCAGGACCACATGAACTTCAGGAGCCTGAATGTTTGTTTGGGACTACAAGCAACATAGTCCTAAAACTGCCTTTCCTGCTTATAATGTTGCTATACCTGTTTTTATGAATTAGTGTTACATTTACTGTATTAGACAGTAGTGCAAAATGCAAGCCAGTGACTATCCTAGCTTTTTTTGTGGATGGGGCATTGAGATGGCAGGGATGAAACAACATACCTGCATTAGATTTACCAGTGAGGTTGGTTCTTCATTTTTTATATCTTGTGCTAAGCCGACTTCAAGTCCAGCTTCTTTACGGGTGTAATTCCAGCTGAGTATGTAACACACTATAAACGATGCAGGTATTTTATAATACCGTTAAATTGTACTTATGAATACTGTAGACCTGCAAATATTTTGAAACTGGGTTTTGATTTGTTTGTATAGCCATTAGTTGGGTTTGGTATTAGGATATCCCAATTGGTACAGAACCACCTGGAGGCCTATTTTGCTAAGTCCTGTACAGGCACGAACTCGCTGTCAGGCAGGTCCTACCGTGCAGAGCTTATCTTTAACAGGCAAGGCAAACAAAGAACAGGAAGATGTGAGGAGCTGGATCCTCAGAAGGTACTTGCCACACCTAGCTTTCAGGTGCCCTGTCTCATTGGGCACCTGACGCAAGGAGAGTGGTGCCTAAGAAGGAAATGCATAGCTAGCAGGCTGAGCAGGGAGCAAAGCTAGCCAGTAGCAAATGCTGAGGGGAGTAGGCACCCTCTCCTGGAGGTAGCCATCTAGGCCAGTTCTTTCTTATAGAAAAACGACAAAGATTTTCTCCCCTGCTGCCCTAACCCTCTGTTTCCTCTCATTGGCGTATGCAGGTGATTAGGGTGGTCACAGGGAGGGTGTTTTTTTTGGATCCCTGCTCTGTGTGATTTAGAGTAGGTACTCAAAACCCAGCTCCTATCTCAGGTGCAGAGCAGCACTGCCAGGCTGCTGGGCATTCAGAGGACCGGGCATCTCAAGTACTGGGGTTCAAGCTGCTCCATGAGCGGACCAAACTTACTGGTGGTTAGATGTCACCTAAGGGGCGAAAATATGTGGGTTCAAATTGCGGCTTTGAATCAGAAAACGGGAGAGGTAAAAACTGGTCAGCCTCTCGGAGGTGAATGCCCTGGCCACTGAGCTATTGCAGCAATGGGAAGTGGACGCCAGGCCAGCCCTGACAAGCTTTTTGTGCAATGCCCAAGCCATTAGGTGTGCTCTGGAAACACTACTGAATTAAGTAGGTT